AATCTTTGATTTGAAACTATTGTGATTCGTTTTATAATGTAAAATCATCTGGTTGAGCTTATAGTAATGATTTCTGAAAGTTGAAAGACGCTTTGTCTGCAGTCATGCGAAAAGAAGCAGTTCTGGATTCCTTGCTAAATCTCGCTTTACATTGAAGTTCTAYCAGGTAAAATACTTTTGTATACAATTTAAACGTGTTTTACATGTTTTAGTTGAAGTTTGTGAATGAAATTGTTACAATCACTGGATTTAAATGATCCGATCTTGATCTTGGCTTCATTTCCGCATCATGATTCTTGTACTTTATTCGTCTGAAATTTCTACCTTCTCTTCACAGAATTGAATTCAAATACCAGATACATACACAAACCAGTGAATCATTGAGGGATGGACGAAGAAGAAAGGTGAAATAACAGATATTTTATGATTCTGATATGAATATTTATTAGTATAAGAATCACGAAGTGGAACACTTTGATGAATAGCTTATTAACTGTTTATAATTATAGATTTAATAGTACAAACGCTCTGATTGGTCCAAGAGTGTGATGTATTTTGCCTGTAAATGCATGTTTGCAAGCATAAATAACTTCACTAATTTATGCACAGCAATTCAAGGGCGGATCCAGCTGAAGTTTTAAGGGGGGTGGGGGTGGGGAGGGGGTGGGAAGGGCTAAATGGGTTTTAAATTCTTATTAACAACATTGAAAATAATAGAATCAGTTCGATTTTCCTGCTCTGAGAGGGGGGGCTGCTCTGAGGGGGGGGGGGGGGGGGGGGGTACAGGCCCCATTTGGCCCTCCCTGGATCCGCCCCCTTGGCAATCCATCCCATCATTGCTTTACTGTCAAAAAAATTACAACAATGATCTAGGCAAAATTCAACTCAATCTGATTCATAAGAAATGAATAAAAATGATTGATACAAGAAGTCATGAAAACCTGGTCAATTAAAAATCTTTTTTTTCCAGGAATTACTGCTGCCTAGTACTACTACTTTCCAGGGTAGGCCTGGTAAAGTTACGTCAGTTTTTCATAAATGAATGGGATGCTTTGGGTGGATTTCATCCATGGACTGACTGCAATCAGAATGGCACTGACCTGTTGACAAAGTATACTCCACTTTCTTATGAAAAAGCCAAAGTCAAGTCAGGTGACACAACAACATGGGATTTGTCYCTATTTGTCAAAGCTCTGTTGAAATCCAAACCTCCATTTGTACCCAAATCTAAAACTACTTTAGTTGCTGGTTTGGAATGTTTGAAGGAAACAAGAAACACTCTTTGCCATACCGGCAGTGGTAAGATTGAATTGACAGAGTTTACCAAGCTGTACACTGATGCTTGCAATGCATTACTGTTAATTGGTGCTTCGTCTGTGGAATTTAATCAAGTTAAGAATGGTAAGCAAAAAAGTTTTGAAAAATAAACCATTCTGATGTGATAATCTGTACTATTAATCATTTAACAAGCAAAAATCACCAAAGTTTTGAATGTTTTCAACCAATGTCAAATTAAAGCAAAATATCTGTTTTAGTATTTGTTGATAATGGATGAACTATTCAAAAAACAAACTATTAATACTCATTTCAAGCAAATTCTAACAGTTTTGGTGATGTATTAAGACATTTGAAGAATTCTGGTTTTTGTCAGGCCTTGTTTGTGAAATGATACTGTACATGGTCATGGTCACTGCATACATTGCTATCAAAATACTGCTCATGTTTGGTTGGCTGTAATTCATTAACCAYGTACACTAATGCCTTTCAATTTAACCAGAATATGCACTTTTAATGCTTTATAAGACTATAGTGTCAGGAAAACAAATGTGTTTTTTGAGCTTCTGTAAATATCTCAAAGATCTGAATCTAAATTGGTGTTGAAGTGGTATGAATTTAGACTTCAATGTGTTTCTAAGACTATTTTTTCTATT